AGGATTGAATATTGGTTTTTTAGAGCGTAGTAATTGTCGTTACATTTCACATTTCTCATCTTTAGTTTTCCATGTTCAGTTGATATCCACAGCTAACCCTATCCGCGTATACAACACAAACCTTTAAGCGCTGGGCAAATCACAGCCCATGCCTTGATGGCACCGAGGCTCAGATACTGTCCGAGGGCCAATTCCAGGTAGAAGAGCGGAATGCCACAGGTTATCAATGTCAGAAAGTATGGAATTAAGAAAGTGGCTGTAAAAAAAAAGTGAGAAATCAGAAGTACAAATTTAAGAAGCTGAAGTGGTAGAGCACGGTTTACAATGAGGCGCAAAGAAGAATGAAAGCGCAGCAAGTAAAAAATAATGGAATTCCCTAATTCAACTGACGGGTTTATAGATTTCCTCGAATTCAAGATAGTTTTACTTCTTGCAAAAGATGTCATTTTATGCGGCCATAGAACCTCTTGGAGTTGAAAATATCTTTTCCGTGCCAGATTAATGGTTCTAAATATTGTAAACTCATAAAACTAAACTACACTGCTAATTATCAAGACGAAGCTATAGCTCCTACGCTCTTGTAACAAAGATGCTTAAATGTACCTCTGCTACAAAAACGGAAGAGGTAACTTTTATAAAACGCCAGCGAGACGCGAGTTTCCGAGGCCGACGGCTTACCAAAACCGCTGTACCATTGGACTCGGAAATATCTAGCGTTTCCTTTCTGAATTATACCGGTAGCCTCTTCCGTGTTTGCTTGTCTTACTCAACTCAATAGCATTTTGTAGATTCCCTCGAGTTAAAGAAAGTGTTGCGAAGCGAAAAATCTCCCACTAGATGTCGCAATATAATCTCTTTGAGATGAATGGATTTATGTTCACGCGCCTACAGTTTTAAGGAATGGTTCTAAAAGAAGTCTGCACTTTTAAATCAAACTACATCCCTGAGTAAAAAGACGAAGCTCTGATAGATATCCACACTTAATCAAGTTACCTCCGCCATTCTTATAGCAAAGATAGGGAAAACGCCAAATATTCCCTAAACCGACTGCATAACCTATACATGACGCTATGAAGTCAGCTTTTGAGGTCCATTTCTCTCGCTGTTCGCTCGCAGCTGAGCTTTCTTCTACCTCTACAACAACGGGTTGGACCTTATTCGTCATATTTTCAACTTCTCACTTGAATTTTTGTACACTACATTTCACAAATAGAAGCTCACATCTCCAACTGAATCTGCTTCCTCGCTGACACCAAAACGAGAAGTAATAATGATGTCATAGAAGATAATGAGGTAATTTAGTTCTGACGTCACTAATCTGTTGATGATTATGGTGTGAAACTGAGTACAATTAACTGATGAACCGAACATTTCATTTGATTGAACAGCTCTGTGATGAGTCTGCTTCTTTATTTCATTACAAAGCTAAAAATTTGTCACCTTTTCTGTTCTGTTTCCTCGCATGGCGCTTTCGCCTTTAATGATCCCAGCAGTATGCTATAACTCCGTAATGGCCTAACTCACGAAAGAGTTCACTGGAGCTCAGTAGTGGAGCGTTAGATCGTAGAAGCCGGCATCGCTCTTATAAAAAATCTTCAAAATGCGACATTCCAACCGAGCACTTTCACTGGCTCACTCGTGATACTGAATCGTAATCGCCACTAGCAGCTTAACAAGTTCAAAATGTGTGCACGCGCACTTTGCCAAAGTCTCGAACTGCGTGCGTCACGTCAGTCCAGTCGTCTTCTATATTTTAGTTTCGATCAGCACAAACATTTGCATGTGGAGGTAAAAATAAGCTGGAATCTCCCTCAGCTTTACATCGGTCAATAGGTATACACTCTTACTGCTAAGAAGTGAAAGACCGTTTTCTTTCTCTACAAAAGTTTATCCCAATAAATAACTTTTCAAGCGAACAATTTCCTTGATCTTGTTCGCAATCTATAGATACATCTAAAAGTTTCTCTATTTGGTTGTATAACATGAGAAATTTCGAGACCAAATTAAAACAGTTTCACATCTAGAACCTCTTTTCAAGCTTTGAGGATTAATCCGTTTCCAACAGCTTGTCCTTATTTTTAATGTTTTCTCCCTTTATTTTTATCATGGTTATTTGTTTTCATTTTGTTTTTTAATTTTTCTTGTGTCGTCTTCAGTGTTTTCCACTCCTATCCACATTCAGCCGACCCCATTTTCTGAAATTTCTTTCTTTGAATAATTCTTAACAGAATATTTTTTTATGTATGTTTGTTCCTCTTTATACAAAGTTCATGTCAAATTTCAAGAGAAACTTCCGACCAAATTAAAAGAATTTCATATCTAATACTTCTTAAGCTCTAAGGATGAATCCGTTTCCAACAGCTAAAATGCTTTACAGCTTTCACACTACCAAAGTTGAACATTTCCAAGACTTTTATTCCATAGGTATGTACATAAGGCAGCCCCTTGCATTACTGCAGCACATTGGTAAACAACGATTTCCGAAGCCTGCTTCAAATGCTATGTTGACAACTGACACACTTGTGACTAATACTTCTTTAGAAAAACTGAATAAAGGAGGTACGTTTCTAAAAAAACTGGTGCTACGTCAGTGGAAGTAACAAGCTAATTTTGGTTTTATGAACGGAGTTGATAATGAAAATTGGCCACCGCAGGCAATCTCAAAGCTAACGTTTCGAGCATGAGCCCTTCTTGAGAGCGAATTGCAAAGGGCTAATGTTCGAATCGTCACCTTTAATTTTACATTATTAATTCAGTTCATACAACCAAATTACTTTAGAAAAAACTAATGTCGAACGCACAACCCTGCTTTCTTTCAAACTTCGAAGTCTTTCATTTATTGTTTTTTTATTTATTTGGCCATTGTTTTCATACTTCTTGTTGCGAAAACTTCACCGCAAAGGGACTGTTCCCTGCTGATAAAATCGTACCGATGGGGAAAAATACGAAAGATTAATGCGGTTACGGTTAGTTTGATAGAGTTCGGATGGTCAATGTAAATGCGAGCATAGAGTTATTCAGAGACCGAGAAAGCTTTCAATATCTAGCCATGATGATCCTCGGCATGTTGATATCAAAGAAAATAACCCGAAGCTAAGAAACCTCGTAAGGAGTAATTTCCGTTGTAGGGCGAAAGAGAGAAAAAAAAAAACTGGCCTGTTAGGCCGCGTCTTTCGGACCTAACGTTAAATTCACTGTAGATGAAATCACGCATTCTTTCTGCGCGTGCGAAAAAATCAATGATTCGCAGGGCCATTTTCCAAAAAGTCCCTCTCACAAGACACTTGCCATCCATACGGGTGCTCATGTGGTAGGTAACGTACCACGTGGTTTAGGAAAATAAGCGGACATGAGCGGAGGCTCGGAGCCAGTCCTCTGAGCCTCATTTGCAGTAGGATGGAGATACTTAGCGTCGAGAAAGGGTTCTGTGTTGTGGGTCAAACCGGTCAGAGGGGTGACACCCCCAGATGGAGGCAGCACACCTGATGGTACATTGGGAGTCGACTGCCCCACTGGCTGAGGAAGAAGTCCATGACGAGGACCGGGCTTTCTGTAGGGGATCTACAAAAAAACAATAAGGTAAAAGTGATGCTAGATGATGAAAAAGCGATTTAGTTTTATCAACTGAGTTGATTAAGTATGTAAATTGGTCACCGCAAAGGGTTTAAACGCTGACGTTTTGAGCGTCAGCCCTTCGTCAGAATAACAATAATGATAATAATAATAATAATAATAATAATAATAATAATAATTGACGATAAAAACTTGCGACAAAACGTTGCTGGATAACTTTGTAAAATTTAAAAAACGATAAAAAGCTATAGAAAGCTAAAATCGACGACGTTTCGACGTTAACATAACGTCATTATCAAGTCAAGAATGTAATAATAAGAATAATAATAATAATAGTTTTTATTCAATCAAAGGATAAAAATACATATCCTAAGTTACTATGAAAAAGTACTAAATGATACGCGATAAAATACAATAATAGTATAAGACAGAATAATACTACACTAGATTATATTTAAACCTACCTGAGCTGGCTCCGAGAAACGAGGAATGTCTGTTCTATTTCCCGTTGAGGCGGTGGAGCTCACTGTTGTGCTCGTCACCTAAAAGCAATAATGACAATAATAATACTAATACTAATAATAATAATAATAATAATAATAATAATAATAATGATATCAATACTAATAACGATAGTCGTCATGATAATATTATTATAATCACTATCATAACAACGTTTATCGTAATGACCATAATAACGATATTAATAATTATCTTTACTGCGAGGATCGTGCACAAATACGTTTCTATAACCGCAGTTCAGATTATATGAATTTCATATATTCGTTGTGATTAATAATTGTGATGATAACAGTAATTATAATAAAACCATAACAATAAGGCTGAAGATAATGTTGCTGCTGCTGATTCAAAAGAAAGTGGCAAACAGAATGATTTGACCAACCTTGTTGTAGGGAATTAGAGGCGGTCCTCGCGTGGAGACAGGTTTTGTGTGCATTTCAAAAGGCCCCAGCCGTTGTTGTGACATCATCTGGTCATTCATTTGCTTGTTCAGCCAGTTGATAACTACAATAATTATTACACATCGCAAATGATCATTTTGACACACTACATGCATATATTTGCTTTGACGTATAAATAGTACCAGGTCCACAGGTTTGTGATGGATGGTTACCCTGTGGTTCGTGCTAACGATCCTACGCGACTGGAGAGACAGCTATTGAAGAATTGTGGGGACGAGGAAAGACTGGGTCGAGACTCCTGTTTCTCGGCTCAGCCCTAGACCCTCTCTCTCCTCACCCCAAGCCAACTCCATAACAAGAACAAAAGATAAGGCATAGTTAAAGTCATCCACATGTTGACTTGAATCTCCACCAAAGAGTCCTTGTTTCTTTTCCTTAGTCGTCAAATTTTCACGATAGTTTCAGTTATTCTCACCGTTTTCATTTGTCTTTAGCAGCTGTTTACTTTCTTCAAGTTTAGCTGTGGTTGTCTCCAATGACTCACTCAACTTCTTCAACTAAATGTTTAGGAAAAAGAAAACATCTTTACTAATTACACTCTGAATTCTCGGGCAATAAACATTTGATGAAGGTAATTCAACTATAACAAAAAAAACAACAACAAAAAAATAAGCTATCAGTACACAGATCATTACCATTCACAACAATGCAACGGCTGATAAAGTTTAAGGGCAGTGTGAACTTTGCAGACCTCTCACAAAACTCCCCTGAGAGTTACTTACCAGACTTGTTCCCACCCTGTTCTCAGTATTCCCCGGTCTGCTACGAGACTGGGGACAAGGGAAAAATGGAGGCATGAGAGGGAGGGGGGAGGGGTTCACTTGGCCAAAAACTTATCTCCATTGATAAAAGCACAGGGCACTTAACTTTCAAGTTTACCTCTTCCTCTTTATTCCTCAAGGTTGTTTCCAAGCTGGATTTTTCCTGCCGATGTTTTTCAAGAGCTGTTTCCTAAATCAACAGGATCAAATTGTTAAAAAGCTTTGCAACATTAAGGCTGCCAGAGTTAAGTTATGGATTAGAAAATGGGGCTCCAACAATACTGACACTGTTACATGTACAGCTGCGACAGCTTACTTAGTGGAATTTTCAAATGCTCACAGAAGATGCGAACCCAGTGGTACTCAACCAGTGCTAATTTTCTGCCTTTAAAAGCACACACAACCCACAATTCCTCTATTCGCTCCGACGAAGGGCTAATGCTCGAAATGTCAGCTTTTGTAATCATTACGGTGGCTAATTTACCATTTCAACTTTGTTGATACATGTAATTTGTAGTGGAATGAAACAAACAACAAAGAATAAGATAACTGGTTATGCAAAAGTATGAAATGCAATGAAATTATGAAATATGATGTGGAATGAGTTGAAATGGGGTAATATACACTGAATGATACAATGTAAAATGGCAAGAAATTAATGAAATGATAGAAAAATAAATGAAAAAATGAAATAAAAAACAGTCACACAGTCCTAACTTTGTTCCTTGAATCCTTCCAACCCAACTGAATTTTGTAATGACCTCAACAGGTTACCTTTTCTTCAAGAAGCTTTTCTTGTTTAGTCATCACCACACTCTTAAGCTTCATCTGACACAGAAAAAGTAGACAGTTCACATGCAAGTCAACTATTTTCCTTCTACAACATGGAGAATTGCATGCACTCAACAAAAAGCTCAATACCAATGAAGAGACGTGCCAAAAGTAAAAACCAGTCTGAAGAGTTTTCAATTATATCAGTCTTGTCTTGCAGATTTGGCTCTCTCTATGATTAAGAGCTCTGGCTATGTTATTTCAGCTAGCCGTTGAAACTAACCAAAGCATCAACATAAACTATGTACCTTGGACTTGTAGGTTCGTAGTTCTGACTGTAATCTTTGTATGATTTCATTTCCCTGAAAATAACAACACCACCATTTAGAAACAGGGTTTGGTCTGTGACTACCGGGAACGGTCCACAAATGATAGAAAAATTTTGCGCAGTAGCTGGTATAGCCCATGGACAAAAGTCAATTTACTGTCAGTGGCTCACAGAATCTCTCCAACAAGGACTATAAATGGCACTGAAAAATAAAATTGTCAAGGAAAACTTGACCAAAGCCTATGTGGGTAGCTAGGGAAATCAGAAGGGTTCCTTGTTACATCTTTTTAAAGTTACTTTGCACAATGATTCATCCCTGCTGAGTGACCCCAGTGCAAACTATTTATAGCTAAAACAGTAATCATGGCATTTTAACAAGTAATGTATTTTTATTTTAAAGAATCCAGAATTACCCATAACACAATAACAGTGTACCTTGATCACATCAGCAGTGACAGATTTCATATTAGCTTCCATTTTACTGATCTGTTCCTGTTTTTCCTCCATTAATTTCTCTTGTTTTTTACGCTGTTCATTAGAATTTTCCAACAGTTCATTGGTGCGTGCTATGACCTGGAATATAATGAAATAATTGTAAAGTATGATGATTGCAATTCTAAGGCCACTTACATTCCATCCCAGGATTTTAGGACAAAAAAAAAAAAAAGCTTGACAATTTTCTAATATTTGTATGATCATTAAGTCAAGTTTGTGGGCCTTTAAAATGGTGTAAAGGCTGATAGTTTCGAAAGAAACTGTTTGGGGCTGCGTCGATGGAACTAACAAAATAATTTGGATATATCAACAAATTTGAAATGGTAAATTGGCCACCATAACGATTACAAAAGCTGAAGTTTCGAGCGTTAGCCCTTTGTTGGAGCAAATGGTGACCAGGTACTGTACATTATAAATGTAATTACCTGTTCCTTGTCCCTCAATTCCTGTTCCAAGACAGCCACTCTTGTCTGTAATTGACTGACTGTTTTACTGTGTTCATGCCTCTCTGAATCTAGTGAACCATTTTCACGGCGAAGTTTGTGAAGTTCTTGCTTGGCAAATTTGCATTCCTGGAAGCCAACAAACAACAACACATGTACACACATACCATAAAAACCCCATCAATACTAAGTCTAAACCTGAGAGTGACCGCCTCCCGGTTAGCTCAATGGATAGAGCGCTGGACTGATGTGCGGGAGGTCGAGGGTTCAAGCCCCGGCCGGACCAACACTCAGGGTCTTAAAATAATTGAGAAGAATATGCTGCCTTTCTATAATGTCAAGAAATGGTTTAGATATTCTAGTCTTCTTGGATAGGGACGAATAAATGGAGGTCCAATCTCCTGCAGGGTTAGGGGTAGGAGACGTTAATTTCCCACGCACGAGAATACTGTGTGA